GGTTAAAGAATAAAAGATACGTACCAAAATTAAATTGAGATATTTGAAAAAATCAAAAAAATCTTGATTTAAAAAAAAATCAATGGTATTTGATTAAAATAAAGAAATCGTGATTTTTTCCCACCCCGGTTATATACAAATTGAAGACGAAACTGTGTTTGTCTTCGACTTATCCACCACTATCAACGATGGTGAGCATACAAAGCTTTCCTAGTAAAGAATAATATCGATTATGAATAAAAATTATAAGCCGTAAATTTTTGGATAAGTGGCAACTAAGGCTACTTGAAACTAGAAACCTTGCAAAATAGATACAGAAAAGTAACATCAAAGAAACAATTGCAAAGATGGGCAAAATATAATGAGGAGAAAGGAACATACAAAGGAAAATTATCAGAAATTAACGAATTTGTTACCAACCAAAGCCAGAACCACCATAGATTATAAATTGTTAAACAAGCTGTTATAACTTGTGCATGATGTAAACAATATTTGTGTTTAAAACATTTTTCCAATGATTTTCACCATTGCCAACAATACATTGAATAAAAATAAGTAAAGAAAAAATTGAACTATTAATATAGAATACAATTTGTGATAATACAGGGTGATAATACTGTCACAACGTGATCACGTTCAGGGGTGCATCACTAGTATTATTTATTTTGTGTGTTGTATTTTTTTATTCTTCCTTTTCCTGTTTACGCTAAGATCTTGATGGCATGCCGAGCGGGTCCAACCTTTTCGTGATGCGTCGGTAACTGAATTTATTGGCGACAATATTTGAATGGTTTTTAAAACGTGTTACGTATTTAGAATTCCGGTGTGCAATTAATTCTTTCACGGTTGGTATTTGGAGATCTATATGGATTACATTATGTACATATTTCCCATGGAGCCTGAGAGAAATGACAGAGTATTTTGGATTGAAATTGTTGTAGTCGCAAGATTGATACCCCATGATTGTATACCATATTGATTTGAATCGCCTTGTAAACTCTAAGTTTATTTTCACGACTTAGACATGATTTTTTGTTCATAAATCTAATAAGTATAATTTAAAAATGTAATGTATAAAATGTATTTAATAATTTTTGTTTATAAGATTTCCAGCTGCAACCTTCTCAAAGTACTGATGAATTGATAGACTCCTTCTAAGAGTGAACGTAATGTGCGTGGATATCGCAGTATTGACATTTATCCATCACTGACGACAGTCATTCCTGAAGCAAGTTCAGATTGTACTGATCGTGAGACGTTGGATACTGATGTGTCGTCAGCAAAAGTACCAATAATCGTTGAATTGAAGTGCATTTCTTTCCAGGACTAAAGATCCAATTTGGAATAAGGTTGAGTACTGATCATCCTATCACACTAAGAATAATCTATTTTTTAGGTATGAGTTTAAAACAATAGACATTTAATGCAGAAGTCACTTTTTCATTTTTATAATCAGTCTATCATGTCACACAGTGCAGTACATTTCCAACCCTTATAACTCGCCCCAGGGGCTCTATTTGCACGTATAAAAAAATAAAACGTTAAAAAAACAAGTAAACCATATTTTGGCCCATACTACGAGTATATTACTACACTGAGTTGCAACAAAATCGGTGAGGGACAGTTCCCTTGTAAGTTAAGGTTTACACACACTAATCAATAGTCAAAACTTTTCAGTAACCTTTTGACACAATTTTACTGATATGTCCAGGACAAATAAATGTTGCAGTTAGGCGATTCTCAACCTATACGCATAAACTTGGGGATTTACTCCTCACGACGAATAATGACCAATAGGCGAACAAATTTGTAGTAAAAGATTTTCTGTTTCATAGATATCCGTGATATTTACTTTCAAATCAAGAATACAAATAACATTTTAAAATAACATCACAGCAAGTGTTCGAAGTCATTTCACATTTTTGTTATCAAGTAACCTCCCGCAATCCACGATCCTCCATTAGCGCGGTCTAAACTAGGGTGTTGGCGAATTGTTTGAGCAGCAGCATGTATCTGATTTTGCAATATTTGTTCAGTATTAACTCCCGTGACGTACACTATGCTTTTTAAGTCTTTGATGAATGAAAATAGTATTCTTTCTAAGAATCAATATGGCTTCACTGAGGGTAAATCAACAAGTGATGCCATTGCGGAACTTACAACAAAAGTTAAAAATAGTTTTGAGAAATCAAGGCCTTGCCTAGCTGTTTTTTTGGATCTAGCTAAAGCTTTTGACACGGNACCATTTTTCTAGTAGATATTTAATTAATAATGCTAGCAACTCTACTTTGTTTAAACTGTCTCCGTTACCATGGCAACGCACATAACAATCATATCGTCACGTCATAGCCTGCTCCAGAAATGTGTAGTTTAGTAATTTTTATACAAGCGTATGTAATGTTCAATAGTAACAATAACTGGAATAACTAATAATATCTTCGTGTCGTAAACCCATGTTCTTATTTATTTAATATCTACAATTAAGGTCTTTTCGAAATCAACTTAAAATAGACTGGCTAAGTCTGACGTCACAGAGGTGGGCGGAGCTTATACCAACTCCAAACAATTTCGTTGCTAACCACAGTTGCTAAAATAAATCGCCATAAAAATGTCATTTAAAATGTCATCTAAAATGTCGCTTAGTTTATTTTATTTTAACACTTACAGTCGGTATAAGCTCCGCCCACCTCTGTGACGTCGAGTCACCACCGTTACCATAATAACACACATAACAATCCCATAATGACGCCATAATTTGGTTGTCGCAACGTCAAATCTTTTTAAATGAAAGTTTCAATATCTCGAAAACTATGCAGTTTAAAGCATTAAAACCTTATGGCATTTTGAAACACCTTGTCAAAAGAAATCCAAAAACCTTAAAATATACAGGGTGTTCCATTTAAAAAACACACTCACCATGTCATAACTCAAACTGCCGTCATCATTTTTACTTTATTTCTACACCAAGATATGCGGAAAATAGTCTCAAGTAACTTTTATTTAAAACTTTTTTTAATATAAATTGAAGTTTAGGCTGTAGAACCATTATTCCATACTTTTTGTACACCCTGTAGACGATTGAAATTATTTCTTGCTGTGTTTAAACATATACAGGGTGATTCTCAACCTATACGCATAAACTTGGGGATTTACTCCCCTCACGACGAATAATGACTAATAGGGGAACAAATTTGTAATAAAAGATTTTCTGTTTCATAGATATCCGTGATATTTACTTTCAAATCAAGAATACAAATAACATTTTAACAGCAACTGTTCGAAGTTATTTCCCATATTTTTTTATCAATTGACCTCCCGCAATCCACGATCCCCCATTAGCGCGGTCTAAACCAGGGTTGGCGAATTGTCTGAGCAGCAGCATGTATCTGATTTTGCAATATTTGTTCAACTTCCGTGACGTACACTATGCTTTTTAAGTCTTTGATGAAAATAGTATTCTTTCTAAGAATCAATATGGCTTCACTGAGGGTAAATCAACAAGTGATGACATTGCGGAACTTACAACAAAAGTTAAAAATAGTTTTGAGAAATCAAGGGCTTACCTAGCTGTTTTTTTCTTTTTTTTGATCTAGCTAAAGCCTCTGACACGGTTGACCACAGTTTTTTGTTACGTAAGCTCGATATTTATGAGGTGAGAGGTATATGTTTGAAATTAATGTGGGACTATTTGCACGGGAGATCTCGATATGTGAGGAATGGTCAAACTCTCAGCTGTTTGGTATCGATGAATGTCGGAGTACCACAGGGAACGGTTTTGGGTCCGCTTTTGTTTTTAATTTATTTAAATGACTTGCTTTCATTAACACTCAATGAAGACTTAATCTCTTATGCGGATGATACCGTTCTCTTTGTGGTATGCCGTTCTTGGGCGGATGTTGAAAAAAGAGATATAGCAGATTTGAGATTAATAAATAATTGGCTAAATAGCAGTAAACTTATTTTAAATGATAGCAAATCAAATTTTATAAGGTTTTACCATCAGAAAGGATACCACTAATACCTTTTCTAGCCTTCCAATTCATGAAAATGATTGTTGTGTGGACGGTTGCAATTGTAAAAGGATTACATCTGTGCAAGTTGCTACTTATTTAGGTGTACTAATTGACAATCATTTGAGATGGAATGCTCATATTGCAAGGATAGTTGACAAGATTCGGCGTAGTACTTACATGTTCAAAAGATTACGTCATGTATGCGATTTCAAAACTATTAAGATATTTTACTTTGGAGTTATACAATCAATCCTGCAGTATGGCATTTTGGCATGGGGCTCTGCAGCTGATTCTTACCTTCAGAAATTAATTACGTCTCAAAAATGTGTTATAAAAATAATGATGCATAGGCCCCGTACTTTCCCAGCTGCGTTGTTGTTTGCTGAGTGTGACTTATTTATTATTAAACAGTTATACACCTTAGCAATTATGAATAACATTTTAAAATCACCGTTTGGCGACTGTCTCACATTGTTACTCTACTCGGATTGCATCCCAGAATCGTGCTGTTATACCGAAATCTAGGTGGAAATACTTTTCAAGAAGATCGGATATCTAGGAAACTAAAAAACTTTTACTACAATTTTATTCATCTATTAGTCACTATTAGTCAAGAGGAATCAATTCTCAAGTTTATGCGTATAGGTTGAGAATCACACTGTATTAATAAAAATAATTTCCATTAATTAATTTCGAGTTTGGTTCTTTTTATTTATATTATTTCAATTATGTATGTACTACATACTTCTAATCCCTGATTCTTAATAAAATTTCCCTAACTTATAGTTTAATACATTTTTATATTAGTACCTCTGGTAGATAAATTACATGATATTAATCTGTTGTTAACATGACACAGGTTTTTTTTTTTAGAAAATTAAGAAACGTTTCAATCAACGTCTCCTATATTGGTAAACCGGCCTTTAACAAATTGCTCCCTATACTATACTCAATGTATCAATATGAAAAATCCCAGAAAAAACTTACCTTTGCTCCTGTAATGTAGCTTGTATTTCGGTAAGTCGAACTAAAGATCGTGCGGATTTAAGTTCCGCCGATACCTTTGAACATTGTATACTGCCCATAATGTGTGCTTCCTCTGATAACTTTTGCGCCTGTAACACATATTTAAAGAATATTCACTGTAATAATATAATTATAAAAAGGAAATGTGCATAATAATAGTAAAGATTTAATTGAAATAACTTCAATGGAGATATTACTTGTTTTTCCAGAATATCGGCGGGCCAGCCCTTCACATGATTCGTAAGGTCATCCCTGTAATGATTGGCCAATGAAGGTGTGATCGTGGGCCCCTGTGGTCTCAGGGCGTGTAATGAACTCTGTACAGCGGGTATGGTGGGTAGACTATTCCCTGGTGGACTGGCAGCCGGTATTGCCACTAAATTAATTAATTGTAGATATTAATTTCACGTTTTCAACACATTCAACAAGTTAAAGTCTAATATATTTGTATACAATTATTATAGTTGTAATATATAATACAATTACTTTTATTGTGCAATTAACCGTTTGAGTCCTAAGCAGCGCGATCGCCCTGTTCAGATTTTATGTCGAGAAAAACCACCACATTTCGAGCATTGTGGATAACTGATGGTGCGTCACCGACTGTCGAAGTCGCGCATAGATTTACTGACGTAAGTACATCACAGAGCTCCTTTTAATGTTAATAATACATTTTTCAATAGGTAGAGTAATGCTATAATAGTGCAATCATACGTTAGAAAATAAAATTTTTTATTTCATTGTTATCGCGCCGCTTGGTATTTCTCGACATAAAATAAAATAAACACTATCGCGTTCTCAGGGGGGTCTTTTCATACTCAATTATAAAAAGTGCGGTTGCGCTGTTTGAGATTCTTCGACAGTGTTTTTTCAATACTCCCTGGGACTCAAACGGTTAAATCTGTAATAAAATTAGCAGGTATGGCAAAGCTGTAAAATTTTCCATAAATTAATTGGAGTGGATTACACTCTGCTTTCTACCTATCTTATGTGGCACTAATAGATAACAACATTTACAGAATGTCCATTGGTAAAATAGAACATCCAATTTCAACAAAGTGTTGTAAGTTCAAAATACTTCTGAATCTTCAAGATAATGTATAACTTCTGGTTTCGCACTTAGATTGCAATGTTATAATTGAATGTTTTTCACAATTATAACGACTTATGCAAAAATATGTGATTAATTTAGCATAATTTTCACGAAAATACCAAGTATGTAATCAGATAAAGTAGCGCTTCCGATTATGTATCGGGTATCTTTATTTAAAGTGAAAGATTATACATATAAAAAGTTCGATATGTGAACAGGAAAAACATAATTAATACTGCTATTGTGTTTTCGAGTTTTCTTGTTTACACACACTCATAAACATATATACACATAATGCTAAAAATAGTCGACAATGATTCGAGTCTTCTAAAGGCATCGTTATCATTAGATTGCCCATAAACGTCAAATTACAGCACATTTGTTTGCATTATTTGATATTTACGAATGGAATAATTATCTTCCTACCAGTCAGAAATCGATAAACCACTACAACTACCTTCGTTGTATCTTACTTTACCATGCGCTCGTAATACTTTTTGGTTAGAGAAAAAGCTTATAGTTTATTTATTTTAGCTTTAAATAGAGCATTTGAATTTTAGTTGGTTGTTTCCCACTTCTCTGTTATGAGCATTAAGTTCAGATATTAGACGTGACAGACATTTGCGTATATATTTTTTTAGCATTGAGAATGTAACATTAGAGGTCTGCATAACGACTAGGCAATTGCAGAATAATTCTGCAGCAAAATCGATTGAGTAGTTTTCGTGCAATTTGTCTCATCCTACAAAATTTTAACCCCCAAGAAATGTGGTCAAAGTTTCACTAAACAAAAAATCAAATTTTATTTAAGCTCACAGCTCTTTTGTGTTAGCCGACGATTCCAGACCAATACAATAAATTTTTATCTTCCATCTCTTGGGTGCATTGTAGGACGAATGTATTGAGATTATCGAATATATTAGTCACTAAATAGGTGAATGTTTAAATTACTTTTAAAGCCGCAATAGAAGTGTTTAGGAACCAAATGCCATATCGTATCGTTGACGCAGTCATTATGCCATTAACAATGTAAGAAGGACCGAAACACCAGTCTAGGAGATCGTCTCGAAATAAATCTTCATATATTAGCAAAGTGGTGATCGGAATGCTGCTCCAAATGCGTAGTACCTATGTAGTACTATTAAGTAGTTATGACGTTGTAGAACATCATTAGTTTGTGAAAACTGATACAACATTCTATCACAACACAGCGTTTTTCCAGCACATATCCCGCACACACCTTCCTTTGAATTTTACGATACGTGCAAATCGGTTCAACATCTAATAGTCTTAATGTTTTCATTCTCGTAAATACTATAACAGACGCAATCATTTGTAGGTACACAACAACATTTCTTCGTCAGAGACTGCCTTCACTTTTCCCAATGATCTGGTGTGATTTCTTTATCTTTGTCCAACAAGTAATTATTTATTCCCATCACCTTTATGGTATACGCAATTTGACAATAACTTCCATTCAGCATTGTCAACGACTTTTCCATTACAACGATAAGCCCTCACATGGCAGTTCCGTATTGTGGCAGTATATATGGCCAATCAATAGGTGAAAATCCATTCTTGAAAAAAGACACAATGTCGAGAATCTCTTTGTTAAAGACTATAGGATTGAGAGGATAATTTAATTTTTAATTTTATTAAAAAGAAACTTGAATGAAGCAAGTTTATATTGATATGAAGTGAAGGAATTTTTTGGAATAGAAGTATCAGTTGAAGTAGGATTTCTGTATTTAGTAGAAACACTGTAGTACTGAATTAAACCAATAAATAATAATCGTGGATCGACCTGTGTCCTTTTTCAATTAACTTCCACCATGATGAACCTGGAGACCTTAATAATTGCTAAATCGATTCTGACTCAATATACAACCCAATTCATACCACAGAACAAATTTATACCCTGACGTACAACACCGAGTAGACGATTTATATCTTAAACATTGTTGACAAGTGATCGAGAATTTATCAAAGCAATTCCACTCAAGCACTTTATAGACATTCACCGAACGTTTGTTTACATTTTTGGCTTACTGAAATGTTAAATATCGCAGAAATTCAACAGACATTTAAAATTAAAAATGCAATAATTCCACAAAAATGTGAGATCGTTGTCAGCATTTTAAATTTTGGAAAATTTATACCATAGCACGCAGTTGACAACATGTTGCTGATTTCCTTTGATTTTAAACAGTATTAAATAAGTTATGTCGGTTTCTCGTGCTATCTGATACTTCATGATATCGATGATATTCCAGAACACTAAAACAAATCATTTCAACTAATTTTTCTATATTTTACGGAAAATTGAAATTTGAGAAAATATGATGCTCATAACAAACTTGTATTTATTTAAATTAACTTATAAAATAACTGTAATGTATTTGTTACGGGTAGTAGGCACCGCAAATTTTAGAAAACATCGAGTTATTTAAAAAATGTTCATATGTTGCTTGAATTGGTAGTCATTATGTTCTATAAAATTATGCACAAATGCTTCCCTTCTAGCCTTGCAGGTGGCATTTGTCACCACAACGTTTACATGGCTATACTTATAGCTCTGCATGTATTTATGAGTATAATTCGCTCTCCCAGATTGAGATTTTATTGCACACTTGCCACAAGAATACAATTCACAGATATAACTTACATAACTTACACATTGTGGATGTAAATGGGGAACAAAACGATAACGATAAACTCTGAAAGGTACGTCGAATCATCAATTCTTTCGAAAAGCGGGGTGAAAAGTTGTTAATGACTTAAATATAACGAATCAATATTTCCATTCAAACGACAACTTGTGGTGAAGTATCTAAAAGCAAAGACAAATCCGTGAGAAGTAAAAGTGTTCATGTTTTGTGATGCTTTTGCGAAATATATTCACCTATCAATGGACAGGTAATTCATCTAACAAGTAGAATTCCACAGCATAAAGGACACAAACTGTTTTGTGATTATTTTACATCACTATTATTACTGCAAGAACTGTTAAAACAAGGTGTTTTCGTAGTAGGAACCATTCGTTGTAATAGACTTGAAAGATGTCCCCTGAAGTCTAAAAATGAACTAAAGGAAAGTCGACGTGGTAGCAACGCTTCATTTGCTTTAGACGATTGGAAAACAATAGCAGTTCGATGGTACAACAATAAAAGCGTAAACATGGCATCGCATTTCGTAAGCAACGAAGTTGAAGATGAGGTAAGAAGATGGGACAGAAAGGAGCCATACAAGAGGATACGATTGTTAATATTTCCATAGGAGGGGCAGATAAAAGTGATTTAAAAGTGACTTTTATTAGTTCACGAAAATGGACTTTGAGGATAATTATACATTACTTCAATCTAGCCGTTTGTAACGCTTGGTTAGAATATCAGTCAGAAATGGAAAGGGAAGGAGTAATAAAACAGGACAAGATGGATTTGATAGTGTTCACTACGTCAATAGCAAAATGGTTGGCATTTTCTCCTAATTAATACACTGAAACGAGATAGACCACTAATGACGAGTATTTGTCGGATAAATATACAGCCCGATATTTTAAAATGAAAAGACCGATTGAAGAATTAGTTTATACATCATTTATATAATATTAAAATTGCGATAGTGAGCCTTGATATCATTAGCGCTGATTTCCTTTAGAAATTTCCTTTAGACATTGCCCTTATTGCACCATTTCCCTTATCATCATTACATTATGTTATATAATATTTATCACCAGATTACTGGCACGCCTATAAATCTGGGGTTAATACAATTTTCTGCAAAATCTTATTGTTATGGCATGGCATATAAAATCCATGATATTAAATAGTACTAAAATTCCACTAAATTTCACTTTTAAAGTGTATAACATTCATTTAATTTGCAAATGGGGTTACGATGAAACTTTGGGACAGAGTATTACATATATTATGTAGAAAAAATGTAGTGATAATGAAGAAATATGCCAATCATGCTTTTACGTCACTTGTTGCATTGTAACTGATTTCCAAAGTTGAAGATACTAGGACAAAAATTTAGTTTAAAAATTGGATACCATCATTTTGCACGAAAATACGGAGACAACTATCGAACGCAGTCTGTTCAATACTTCAGAGCAAGCAATACCTTTTTACTTCATAATAGATGAAAAATAAATGTAAATTTCTGAAGACTTCTTAAGAACTCAAAGTATGGAACGCGTGTGTAAGTGTGTAAAACAACAGTAAAATACTTTAATGACATCAATGCGACATTACATCCATTCACATGGATTAAAAGAATATTAAAATGTTGCTTGCATCTATCCTGTAAAT